GTGGGGATGTGCCCTTTCAAACGTGTCGAGCTGTGCATGTGCACCGGGGTGCGGCGCAGGCGAGGTCTGAGCAGGGGCGGTGGCTGTGTGCAGCCTGTAGATCGCTGGGGCCATGGGTGGGGGCCTGCGAAGGATTAGCTGCAAAGACACGCACCCACCCCCCACCTACCACCCCCGCCTACCACCCCCCGCAGCTCAGCCGGCGGAGAGGAGCAGGAGCGGCAGCAGCTGCACCGCCACACCAGGCAGCCAGGCCAGAGCCAGGCAGGCGCCCCACCTGCCGCTGGGCCCCGCCACCTCTGCCGCCTGCGAGGCCACCGCCACGTACTCGCCCAGGAAGGCCGAGAACTTGCCGCCGCCGGCCGCCTCGCCCTTGTTCCCGCGCGCCACAGCCCACCCCGCGTCGCTGCTCTTGAAGGCTGCACACACACGCACGCCAGCAGGCCAGGGCCAGCAAACGGTGTCGGCGAAGCAGGCAGGGCAGGCCGCGCCCCCGCCAGCCCGCCACCCCGCGTGTTGCCCTGCACACACACACACTGCAAGCAGCCTCCCCCCCCCCCCCCCCCCACACACACACACAGCCCGCTCACCCGGGAACAGCTCCACCTCCTCGGGCCGCTTGGCCGCCAGCGGCGGCAGCGCGCCCGGCAGCGTGTCCAGCCCCGCGATGGGCACATCCACAATGCCCAGCTCCGCCTGCGCCTCGCTGCGAATGTCGTCCAGCTTCTTGGCCTGCGCGGCACGCGGGGAGGTGCGCGTGTGGGTGGGCGTGTGCGGGTGTGGGCGGGTGGGTGGGTGGTGGTAATAGGGGCACAGGAGAGCGGGGCGCAGGCTGGGGTGCAGGGGCCGGGGCAGGCGGGGCGCCACGCGGGCCCCAGCCTGCCCACGGCAGCCGCCACGCCGCCACGCGGCCAGAGCCACACCACGCCGCCGCGCACCGTGAACGTCTCTCTGCGCGCCACCCAGTGCTGCGCCCTCAGCTCCAGCAGGTCCTTCATCACAAAGCGGATGCGGGAGGCGTAGACCTTGGAGGCGTTGCTGAGGCGCTCCAGCTGGCGGAAGGCGGCATCCAGCCGCGCCTTGCCCTTGCTGCTCTTCTGCAGCTCCGCGCCCGCCGTGGACAGCAGCTCGCACACAGCCTGCGGCCGCGCAGGGGTCCGCGCAGTGGGGGGGGGTTGGAGACACGGCGGGCCAGGGCGGGGCGGGCTAGCGCACCGCGGGACGCCAGGCTGCTTCCTCCCTTTCCTCCTCCCCTCCACAAACACATCCTCCCCCGCTTCTTCAGCCCCGCAGCCGCCCTGCAGCCACCCCCCCCTGCCCGCCCCTCACCTCCACGCTGTCCTCCGGCGGGTCGTTGTCGGCGCCCCCCAGCAGGTCGGCCAGGATGAGCAGCATGATGCGATCGTTGACCTGCGCCTTGTTGAACAGCTCCGCGATGAGGCGGATGTTGCCCAGCAGGCGCTGCTTGGCGCGCCGCTCCGCGTCGGGCCGCTCCTCCGCCGGCAGGCTCTTCAGCTCCTGCGGCGCAGGCAGAGGGGGCACGCGGGGCGTGAGGCGAGGAGGGCCGCAAGGCACCAGGCATGAGCGCGGCGAGTAGCAGCTGCTGCGCTGAAGGGGCAGCGGGTCCCGTGCTGGAGCCTGCGTCAGCAGCCGCAGCCGCTGCCGCAGCCACGGTGCAGCGTGTGACCCGTGCCCTCGAGCTGGCGCCGCCAGCCCTGCCGCCTGCCGCGCCACCGGCCGCTGCCGCCGCACCTTGCGCGCCTCCTCTGTCGCCTCGTACTCCTCCTGGCACGTGTTGGCCAGCATCTTCTTGAACCCGGTGGGCTTGTCCTCACCTGCGCCCAGCCACAACATGGCGGCGGACACCTTGCCGGCAGCAGGGCGCGCCTCGCGTGCGGCCCCTGCAGGCAGCCCCTCGTGCAGGCCAGCCAGCCAGCCCTGCCAGCACTCCACGCAAGAGTGCAGGGTCGCGGTGCCCGCCGCCCTTGCTCTGGCCGCCTGCCCTGCCCAGCCCCTGCCGCCAGCGCACCGGGTGCATGGAACTCTGGCAGCGCGGCGTCCAGCTCGCGGCACAGGTCGGCATACATGGCCACAAAGGTGGGCTGCTGCACCGCGTTCTCAAACACCTGGCGGATGGTGCCCTGCACGCGGGAAGGGCAGGCGGGCAGGCAGGCAGGCAGGCAGGCAGGATGAGGCAGGATGGACTGCCAGGTGCGGCGTTGGCAGGTGGGTGGCTGCGGCGCAGCATATGCCTCCAAACCCCCTCCTGATGCCACCCAGGCTGCACGTCCCGAGCTCCCACCCACCCACCCACCCCCCGGGTCCCCGCCACCAAAAACATCCAGCGCACCTGCAGCACCTCGTAGCCGCTGACCATGGGGATGAGCTGGGACAGCAGGCGCTCAAACTTCTCGGGCGTGAGCTTGTTGAGGATGCCCTTGACCTTGCGCAGCGTCTGCTCCACGCCCTCGGTCGCCACGCCCGCGTGCCACGCCGTGCGCCCAATGTCAGTGGCCTTCTGGATCTTGGCTGCCTCGGCCCCGCCCGACGGCGGCGGCATGCCGGGCTGCTGGTCGGGGCGCCAGCCGGGCTGCTGCTGCTGCTGCTGCTGTTGCTGGCCGCCGGCGGCGGCGGGCGCGGGGGCGGGCCCCGGCGGCAGCGTAGTCCTCGACCGCCAGTCGCGCTCGTCGGCTTCGTCCGCCGCCACGCGCTGCAGCAGCTGCTGCTGCTGCTCGCGCCCCGGGTCGTCTGCCGCCAGCAAGATGTCGCTGTTTGAGTACTGCAGCTCCTGAGGCACCCGGTTGTACTTCTGCGGAACCAAGGCACGGGCAGGCAAGGGCAGGGCGGGGCTTGGTGGAGGCGTCGGGGACACCCACCTGCCGTGACGCATCGTGGCCAGCTGCAGCTGCCACCGACGCCATTTTGCTGGCCTGCACACAGAGGATACAGCTGCTGCAAGCGCCGCACTCGCTCGTTTGCTCGGCAGCAGTGGGGGGCAGTGTCGCACCTGCACAAACTTCATGAGGAAGTCTCGAGAGTAGCGGATGATCTCCCCAGGCGCCTTCTTCTTCCTCTCCTCCGGCGGGTTGGTGGACACAGTCTGCAGGGGGAAATCCCTCGGCTTGCTATGTCCCAAACCAGCAGGCACCGCCGCCGCCGCCCCTGGCAGCCCGCCTGTCCCCATGTAGCGGGCTAACGCGTGGCGCTTTGGCCACCTCCACATGCCCCTGCTCTTGCCAAGGGAAGCTACTTCCGCCGCCGCCATAACGCAAGCACGGCCCATCACCAAGCATGATCGCCATCACGGCCTGCGGGGCCAAATATGCGGCGGCAGCAGGCACCCCATGCCCCCGCACCTTGTTCTTCAATCCCACGCCCGCTCCCTTTGCGAACCCGGCGAACGGGTTGGCCCCGCCGGGCCGCAGGCTCAGAGGCCGCAGGCTTATGCTGTCTGCGTCCAGAGCCGCCATCATGTTTGCTGAATGCCCAAGCTAGGGGCGAGGCCCTCCCTGACATGCGGCAGGCTGCATGCACGCTGGCCACATGGACCCAGGCCTGGGCTGCAGACTCGCTCGACAACGCAGCGAGCAGCAGGCTCTGCGATAATGAGCATTTGCAATCGAGTGCAGCGAATGGCCGCACGGCGTGACCTCTGCCGCCTGGCAGCAACAGCGTTGTGCGGCGGCGGCAGGAAGTCGCTGAAGTTGGCGGCGGCGCGGCGTGGCTGGCGGCGGCGGCAAGGCTTGTGGAGGTGCTGTGTGAGCATCCCCGTCTCATCCCGCACATCCGTGCAGCTGGTAATCTTGCAGGTAATGGTTGCAACTAGGTAAGGGCAGCAGAGCCAGAACAACAGAGGCCCGGCAGCTCTCAGCCGTCACGTGCTGCCCTTCTTGCTGGCATCGGGCTGCACACCGAAAATCTCGTGGAACAGATCCTGGTTCTTCTGGTAGGCGCTGCCGAGGCCAAAGCCTGCCCCGACCCCAAGCGCAGTAGCGCGGGCGGTGGGCGCCCCTGCAGCACGATGTGGCAGGCATGAAGTTTTGTGGCAAGAGAAGATGAGCGCAATCAGCAGCACAGGGGTCGCCATTGGCAATGCCTCCCCATCAGCTGCAACGCCTCCCCAGCACCTGACGCAATGCCTCCCTGCCGCCCCGCAACCCCTCCCCAGCAGCTGCCAACACTCACTGAGGAGCAAGAAGCCCGCCACGCCCCCAGCTAGCGTGCCGTAGCACAGACGGCGCAGCATCAGGTCCAGCGCCTCATCCCAGCGGCGGTCTGTGAAGTGCTGCTTCACTTCGCCGCTGCTCGAGGACATGGCTGCCGCTGTCGCCACGCCCGCTGGCTGCTCTGCACGGCACTCGGTGCCCACGTCCTCCCCACGAGAACTCAGGCTGGACTGGTGCTCCACCTGCAGGTGTAGGAGGCAAGAGGTTTGCGTGATACACAGGTGTCGGCCACGCAGCTGCCGCCGCTGCCGTTCCTCAGGCACCAGCAGCATCAGTGCCGCTGCCCGACCAGCCACATTGCTTCCCGCTCGGATGTCCCCACTAGCATCAGGTTCCTGACTGCACACCTCTGAGCCGACCCTGTCCAGTGCAAAACAAACGCGCACTCTGTAGGCTGCACCCTTACCTCCTCTGGGATTGGATCACGCAGTTGCTGGTGCGAGGGTGGTCAAGCGCTGCGAAGACCCCCTGGGCCAGTCAAGCGAGAGGCACAGCAACACAGTGCCCCTGCACACCCCAGGCCTTGCTCCTGTGAGTGCTCTGAAACTCGTGGCGATTGGATGTGAGGGGCTAATGCAGTGTCTGACCAGCGCCAGGTGATGACGGGGCGGGCGCCAAGACCAGCCGCCCCCGCACCACGCTGGTAGCATGAACCCTTCGCTCATTTACAGTACGCATACAATAAACCAACTCCCTAGCACCCTAATGGAAACAAAAAAAAAGTTCTGATAGCCTACGCTGGATTGATCTGACCTGCCCTGTTGAAGACCGAATGTGCACAGGGATGCGGTGAACTGATTCGGGTGGTTATTGGCACACATGCAAAACGTGTGTGGAGCTGCAACTGTGCAGGCATTGGATACAGATGGGGAACCGATTGTGGAAGAATCATTTGTTGCCCTCGCTTGTATGTTGAGTTGATGGCACTCCGTCAAGGCTGCTGCTGGTAATCTCGGTCAGTGTAGGGTGGCGGCTGCGTTGCAGCCGTGGCCCCCTAGGCCCAGCTACTTGTCTTCCTCACGGCACACCCCCTCCGACGCGAGATCTGCCATGAGCATGAGCTGGGAAGAGTCCAGGTTTGTGTTGGCGAAGACGAACTGGGGCCCAGAGGCCAGCGCCTTGAGCGTGGCGTAGTCGATCTCGCCCGCACCAACCACCACCATCTTGATGCCGCGCGCCTTGGCGGCATCCGCGGCCTCAAACGTGGGCTGCGGGTCTGTGGGCTTGCCATCTGTGATCAGAACGATGGTGCGGCTGGCCTGTGTGTCCTCCTCCAGCAGCACGCCCTGGGACAAGGAGGCGAGCAGGCAGGGCAACCATGAAGGCGACAGGCGAGCAGCATGTGATTGGAAACAACACACTTGACTCACCTGGCAGGTGGTGATGGCCTGGGCCATCCACGTGCCATGGGCATCGGGAGTCGTGTTGACCACCATGGAGACAAAGCTGTTGTTGGCCGCCACCTCGGCGCCCGTGGCCTGCACGGGGGGAGGGGGCATGTACAGTTGGCAGGGAAGTGCACAGTGGTGGGACAACAAAAAAGCAGCGCTGAAAATGGCAAGGCGCGCCAGCGACCCCGCCCCGCCCTCACATGGCCAATCTTTTCCACGTCGTTGGAGAACCAGAAGACGTCAAAGACGGCTGCCGGGTCGTTCAAACTGTACATTATGGAGCGCGCCGACGCCACCACGTCGTTCCAGCCATCCACATTGGTCAGGGATTCTGCGGGCACAGCGGCAGAGCGATCGAGGCCGGTGATCGGCTGCTAAACAGTGCGGTAGGCAGGTTGGAGCCAGATCGGATTGCATAAATGCCCAGGGGAGGCGTGGAAAGAGAGGAGTGAGGCTCACAGCGGCTCAACTCACTGGAGCCATCCAGCAGGAAGCAGACGTTGGCGGAGCAGTCCTGGATGACGACGGGCGGGGTGATGGGCGGCGTGTTCACGTTGCACGCGCCCTCGCTGTCGCTGATGCATATGGTGGCGGTAGGGCCTGCAGGGCAGATGCAAGGTGGTGCATGTGGTGTGCTGCGGGGGGCGAAGCAACAGTGCTGGCTAGTTGGGTGCCTGCCGGCATTCTGCTGCAATCGGTGTTCTCTCGGTGAGAGCTGGGCTGCCTCAGCGCGCAGGCCACGCACCAGACCACCACGGGATGGCCGGCTGCTGCACGCGGATGAAGAGGTACACGCTGGCCTCCGCCTTGGCCAGCACCTCCACCTGCACCTCTGGGGTGGCCGTCAGCGTGTACTCCACCACCACCTTGGTCTGTGGGGCCTGCAGGTGGCAGCAGGCAGGGGAGCAGCAGCGCTGTAGGAAAAGCCAAGCTCCCTTGTGCTGCTGACGTGTGGCCCCAACCCACACCCTGTCATGCTCTGCGTGCGTCACACCTGCAGCCTCCTGCGGCCGCCCTCCTGCGTCACGGACACAACGTTGATCTGGATGTTGTCGGTGGTGTAGCCGGGGGGCAGGTTGAGGGACGCCAGGATGGCCTGCTTCAGCTGCTCCTGCTTCACAGGGTCGGTCTGCAGCCCGGACAGCTCTGCAGGTGGGAAGGCAGCACGCGCCTGGTCACAGTCAGGGCATGAGAACAGTGACATGCAGGGTGGGGCCAGTACCCTGCCAAGAGATGGCCACGCTGGCATGGCCAAGCTGTTGGTTGGGCCGCCCCACGTTGCACCGCAGGCCGGCAGCAGCAACCCACCCTCGCCGCCGGTCATGGTGAGGGTGTTGGCCACGCTGCCGCTGGCGCCGCTGCCCGACACGGCGGCAGTGCTGCTGTCCAGCGTGGAGGGCGGCTTGGGGGACTCGGTAGGTGGAGGGGGCGGGGATGGGCTGGGCTGGTCGGCAGGTGGAGGGGGCGGGGTGGCGCCAGGTTGCTCGGGAAGAGGAGGCGTGCTGCTTGGCTGGTCGGCAGGGGGAGAGCTGCCACTTGGCTGGTCGGCAGGGGGAGAGCTGCCGCTTGGCTGGTCGGCAGGGGGAGAGACGCCAGTTGCAGGCACCTCCAGCGAGCACAGCGACTCTGAGTAGCGGGAAGACTGGCCCTCATACTTGGCAGCAATCTCCGCGGCGGTCAGGGCGCGGCTGTGCACTTCAATGGCGCCGATGCTGCCGCTCAGCCAGCCCAGCTGCAGCAGGGGCGGGGCAGAGCGCAGGAGGCAGGTGGATGGGACGTGCAAGCGCAACGCCTGAGCCAAAGCACCTCATCACAGTACAACGCAGCTGGGGTTGCACCGCACAGTGCATCCGTCGGCCCTTGTCCCCTGGGCCGCACCCAGGCAGCCACCCCGCCAACCCCCACCCACCCACCGGCCCGCTGAGCGCCGCGGGGTCGATGCCAGTGGCGTTGCTGCCAGGCTCCACCAGCCTGCTGTAGTCCACGCCCAGCGCCAGCACCTCGGCGCCATAGTCGTTCACCACGTAGGCGGCGGTGGCAGTGCCGGCCGGCTGTGCGTCCCTGTAAAACTCCAGGGCCGGCCCGCTCTTCACCACTGCCAGCTGCACCCAGCAATCCTTGAGCGAGTCGGCGGTGTAGGTGGGCTGGGCGGTGAAGCCCTTGATAGGAATGGAGCTGCGGGCGGGGGGATGGAGGCATCATGCATGGCAGCTCGGAGCGGGGTCGAGCGCAGCCTGGGGTAAAGTAATTGCTGAGGCCGAGGGGGAAGCCAGGAGGACATCATGCACAGCCTCACCCCTGGGCTGTCTGGTCCTCAAAACCAGCCACGCGCCAGGTGGCAGAGGCGCGGGGGTCGCCCAGCTCATCCGCCCCTGCCACTTGCAGCAGCACGGGGTTGGCACCGGCGTCCAGCTGGCCGGGCTTGTACCACACCAACGCTGCAGTAGGGAGGGCGGGCATGGTAAGCGCAGGTGCTGCAGCAGAAGGCTGCCACGGGGGCAGGTGCAGGCAGCTCCAGGAGCCACGAGCCAGGCCAGGACCCACCGCTGAACTCGTCGCCCCAGGCGCCATCTCTGACACCCACGGGCTTGCCGTCGCCGTAAGACCCCGCCTCGGCAGTGCCCTCGGGTGGGGAACTGAACACCACTGCGCCGCCATAAGCCTGGTCGTAGCCTGCAGGGCAGGATGCAGCACAGCATGGGTCGGCAGGAGCCAGCTTTGAGCTGGCTCCAGGTTGCATGTGCATGATGTGCGAGTGATGGCAGTGCCGTAAATGGTTGGTGGTGGTGGGCTGTGCAGGCTCCCTCACGCCCTGCCCAGCGAATTAGCCAGCCACGCACCCGCATTGTGCAGCTGGATAGTCATGGCTGGGTCATCAGGATTGCCCCAGGCCGCATCCCCCTCGCTGTTCTCAAGCGAGGTGAGGCCGGGGCCCACATCAGAAGTGGCGGCATCCAGGGCCAGCACTACAGATGGCTCGGCCAGCAGCTGACGCCCTGCACTGGTCAGCAGACGCAGAGGAGGGTGGGCAGGACTGGCGTGGGTGCTTGGGGACCTCCGACAGCTGGAGACAGGCACGGTCACCGTCGGCACACACCGTCGGGCCCATGAACCGATGCCACCTCTGCTACGGGCAATGGCCGGCCTGCAGGAGCCACAGGGACAGCCAAAATTTGACAAGCTGCCTTGTGGAAGTTGGTAGCTCCCTGATCAGTGCACAAGGAACCTGTGCACCGCAAAGTTGGGAACACAGTTCCATATGCTGGCGGGACGCTGGCAGCCAGGCCAGCCCCGCTGGTCGCGGCCCCACTGTGAGGCATTTTTCACAGCATTCCAAATGCCGCCTCATGCGGGGGTGGTGCGGGCCCAAATATGGGAGAACGGTCTCACGCGGCCCCAGCAGGCAGCGAAATGATCGCGCGGGGTGCCACTCACCCGCCACCAAGCCGGCGGCTAGGGCCAGGAGCGCGATCAGGGACCAAGTACTGCGGCCCTGCATTCCCGCTGCGCTGGTGAGAATGGGGGCGACGCCGGTCGGTTCACCAGACTGCGCTAAGCCAGCGCGGGACGGGCGGCTGTGGAAGTGATGGAAATCAGCGCGATCAGTGCGGTGGGAATTAGCCTTCTTGGAGCTGAAAGCCGCTGGTCTGCCGCCAACGCGGTCAGGATGCAAAGCCCAGCATGGCTCAGCGTGCCTCGCAGTGCGCCGCAGCCGCATGACACAAGGCGGAGGCCGCCCCACTCCCGCTTCCCTGACAGTGCCTGGGCCTCCGAAAATCCATTTGATCATGTATCATCTGCTGGAAGCTGAAGAGTGCTGTCAGGATTAGGGGATTTGGAGTTCTCCACAGAGCGGCGGAGGAAGCACTTCGTCAGGCCTGGAAGGGATGCAGACCAAGGCCACCGCCAGGCCAGCGGCGGAGGCTGCGGGAAACACGGGCCAGCAGAAGCGACACGGCATGCGAGGTGCAGCGACTGGCCGCCCAGCAGCGGGGCAGCGGCAAGCGGTGACATCGGCTGGACCCGCGGGGGCGGGGGCGGCGGCAGGGAAAGGCGGCGGAACAAGTGCAGCGATCCTGGCTGGCCTGTCACAACATTTTGTCTTGGTATTGAGGGGCTATAGCCAGCCAGGAGACTTGAGCCACATGCGCTTGAAGTACAAATTTCCTTACCCGCGTCTGTCCTTCTTCCCTCCTTGTCTGAGTGGCAGAGGGGCCATGTCTGTTGGAGTGGATTGCTGATCGTGGCCTGGCGGCTTGCACTATTTGAACACCAGACTCCTTGCAGCGCGAGCAGCCTCTGCTTGCCGGTTCTGAAACCAGCGTGAACTGCCCGCTGCGATCAGGGCGAACGAGATGGAATGGCCGAGCAGGAGCGGAAGTAAAGGGGGCGTTGCCATGGGTGGCGGCGGCACCGAGCCAACGGTGCCGTCCTACTCCCCGGGCTCCAACCCTTTTGCCGACCGCCCCACCTCCCGCACGCCCGTCGGCATCCAGCTGGCAGCCAGCAACGTCAGGACCGATAAAACAAGCACGGGCAGTGGGGCTTCTGGTTCAAAGGTGCATTGTGGGCGGCTCAGTTGCGCGCTGCTGTGCGGTGGGTAGATGGCATGCGGAGGCTGCCATGCGAGCATCCGGGGCAGGGGAGCTGTCCAGGTGCATTCCACCATCACTTGGTGTCGCGCGTCCTGTGCAGACCCCCAGCCCTGCAACGTCGCCAAGCGAGCTGGACCTGGCGGCAAAACTAGCTCTGAAGTCTCCAGGTGAGCTTCTATTCGGCTTCAACTTACAGATTACCCCATGACACGCACCGCCATATCCATGCACCATCCCACTTCTGTGTCCATCCATTGCCACCCCCTGCAGCCGTGGCGAGCGCAAAGAAGTGGCTGCTGGGGCAGGCCATGTCTCCGGCAGGTGCCAAGATTGCGGCGGTGACCCGGCTCCAAGCAGACGTGGCCTCTCCTCGCCCTGCTGGCAGCGCAGAAGCGGCGGCCACGGCGGGGCCGCTACCCAGCCACAGCAAACTGCTGCAGCACACACCGCGGACGTCTGTTTCCCTCATCTCCGACCCGTCCCCAGCCTCCCAGTTCCCTCGCTCATTCCCGGTGGCTGTGGATGGCAACACAACAGTGCTGGTGAGGAGTTAACGGCAAGTGCATTCTGGACACATCATGATGCACTCCCTGTACAACATTGCCAGGACACCTACCAAAACTGGTTTTGGCTCCCCACATTGCAGGCTGCGGCCACGCCCGAGGGCGGGCTGGCTTCCTGGCTGCGCATGAGCAGCCATCTGAGCAAGCCGCCAGGGCAGCCCCAGCGGCAGCTGGCCAGCCCAGCAGGCAGCGACAAGGGCGAGGGCGGTGTCGGCACTCGCGTCCAGCTGGATTTTGCTGTTGTGCAGCCCAAGGCAGGAGCTGGGGAGCCAGCGACACAGGCGTCGCCCATGCCTGCCTCGCCACACCCAGGGCAGGCATCTCGTGTTGGTGGCAGCGCTGCCACTGCGGCTGGGCAGGCAGGCGCGCCCCAGCCCTGGCCCACACCGCCCACATCGCCTGCGCTGAACAGGCGCAAGCCTGCGGCAGCACCAGCCGCTGCAGCCCCCGTCAGCCCGAGCACCAGCAGCCGCGGGTTTGTGCAGCGCGCCCTGCTGGCCCTGTGCATGCAGGCATGCCTGCTGGCAGCGCCGGTGGCGCTCCATGCCATGGCTCCCCATCTTGCCCAGCGCTATGGACTTGGGGATGCAGCAGCCCAGCTCAGGGGTGAGTGCTCATGTTCTTGTGCCGCTACCTGCCTGGCTGATCTTGACGCCAAGCAGACCTGGCCTGGCCTGCTAGTCTGCTGCTACAATCAATGACGAATGGTCGTTTGCCTTGCAGGCCACCTGTTTCACACCGCAACACGTGTTCGCCAGCTTGCCAACAGTGCAGCCCAACAGGCCAGGCTGCAGGACGTGCGCCTGCGGGCCTGGAGCATGTACCAAGCGCCGCTGGCAGCAGCCCGGCGGCTGCTGGATGCAGCTGCAAGCCACTCAGCTAACCCGGAGCAATCGGCGCAGCCAGCGGCCAAAGCAGCGCCCTCCCCCCCGGTGGTGCACCTGACCAAGCCCTCAGCATCAACGCCGCAGACTGTTCCAGCTGCAGCCAGGCGGCAAGCGCTCAAGGCTGCGCCCGCTGTTCCCATCAAGCCTCTGGCGGCAAAGCAGCAGCCAGCACTCAAGCCCACTGCTGCTCCCGGTGAGCCTTCTTCCAAACCTCCACGACTCGCCGCCTTCCCAGCGTCCAAGCCCGCTGCATCGCCCATCCGCATTACATCTGCACCCCATGACGCGGCAGCCTCTTCCAGCCTCATCCAGAAGCTGAAAACCGCGCTGACCAAGACCACAACTGCATCAGCCCCTCCCCCAAGCAGCCGGACGGCAATTCTGGGTGCCCACCTCGTGGCAAGCTGGCACCAGCTCCTCACCCGCCTGCCAGGTGGCCCAGCCCAGCTGTCAGCAGCAGCGGCAGCGGTGGCCAAGCAGCCAGCAATGCAGCTTGCCCCAGCCTGGCCTCCTGCCGCTGTGGCTGCTACCGTTGTGGCTGCATTGGCCACCACAGCTGGCCTATCGTTTGGGGCCTATCTGTTCTTCCGTAACGGAGCTTCAGAGGTGGCAGTGTCTGGCCCCTCCACGACCCATGCTGTTGGTGGCAGGTGTGTGACGGGCTATAGCATCCTAATTGTTGTTTGCCCATTCTGTTGGCGGGAGCATGATTGATGACTTGCTTTGTGAGTGCAGGGCACGCCGGCGGCAGCCGAGTATGGCGATTGTTGCCGAAGCAGTAGCTGACCTACCATCTGTGGCGGCCCCCCGCCAACGGCGCCAGAGTACCCTCAGCGCAGCGGGTAAGCTGGGCGCAGCTAGTGCTGCCTTCTGACAGCAAACAGCAAGTAGCTGCCTGGCTCAATCTGCACCTGCCCGATCTGCAGGTGCTACAGCCGCTGCCCCGACTCCCAGGACGTCCACTCGGGCCCGGCCAGGGCCCGCTGACACCCCCAACCCGACCCCCACCACCAGACGGCGGTCAGCTCGGTTTGCTGCTTGACTTGCACCTCGTGACGTGCTGCCCCGGTCTGCGCAGGTCCCGTGCTCCCATACCGCCAGCGTTGGTTGTAGTGCCTGCTGGTAGACGTTTTACTCTATATTGCTTACTGACTCTGCGCAACTGAATCTGCTGAAGATTGTTCGATTGGTGTAACCTGTTGACTTGTCGCGAGGCTGCACTGCGCTCATCTCGGCGCTTCCTAGCTGGCGGCGGCGCTGGCGGCCGTGCAGAAAGCCATCTCATCGGCCCCATGCGGTAGCAGGTTACTCTCGCCTGGCCAGCAGAGCCCAGACCTGCAGGTTTGCTCCCTGCTCCCCGCATGCACCTCACCCCAGCAGCGAGTTGTGGAAGGTGCACCACGGCGGTCGGTGCTCGCCTGGCAATCACGGCTCGTGCCCTGGGTCGTCATCACAGCAGCGCAGGGCGTGGCAGCAGCATGCTAGACAAGAATCCACCCGAGCTGGTGCCACAGGAGGCGGCGGCGTGGGAATGGTTTCGCAGCTTGGGAAGCCCCAAGTACTGGGTGAGCGCTGCGCGCTGCAGAGTACGCCATGCATTGCCAGGCCGCCGCCGCCGCCGCTGCCGCCGCCGCTGCCGCCGCCGCCGCCGCCGCTTGTTTGTAGCAGTGCCCGGAGCCCAGCCCATGCGTTAGCACAGCTGGTCGCTGCTGCATGCCCACGGCATGCTCCCCTTTGCCGCCGTGCCCCTGCTGGATGGTGACAGGTGGCGCCCATGGTTGACCAGAGCGAGCTGGCGTTCCGGCAGCTGACGCGGCGGCACGGCGCCACGGGCGCCTACACCCCCATGCTGCACGCCCGCCTCTTCCTGGAGACGCCCTCCTACCGGGCCGAGCACTTCACCACCACCCAGCAGGACCGCCCGCTGCTGGCCCAGTTCTGCGCCAACGACCCAGACATCCTGCTGTCCGCCGCCCGCCTGGTGGCGCCGCACGTCGACGGCGTGGACCTCAACCTGGGCTGCCCCCAGCGCATCGCCAAGCGCGGCAAGTACGGCTCCTTTTTGATGGACGACCTGCCGCTGGTGGAGCGGCTGGTGCGCCAGCTGGCCGCCAACCTGGCGGTGCCCGTCACCGTCAAGATCCGCCGCTTTGACTGCGTCCAGCGCACGGTGCAGTATGCGCAGATGCTGGAGCGAGCGGGGGCCAGCCTGCTGGCCATACACGGGCGCACGCGGGAGCAGAAGCGGGCCAGCGAGGTGCGGGCCGAGGTGGAGTACATACGGGCGGTGAAGCAGGTGAGGGGGGCGGGGGTGGGGGTGGGTGGTGGTGTGGGGCAGCGGTGATGAGGGGCAGCGGTGGCTTGGTCGAGGAGACCTGAGGCTGGTGGGTTGGGGGGGAGCCGCGGGAAAGGTGCCGGCCAGGTAGGTTGGAGGCCTCTGAGCTCTGGCCAGCTGGCAACAGTCGCCTGCTCTGCCTCGCCTCGCCTCCAACCGCCCCTCCTCCCCCCCCCCTCCCGCAGGGGCTGCGCATCCCTGTCCTGGGCAACGGCAACATCCGCACGCTGGCGGACTGCGAGGCGCTGATGGCGGCCACCGGGGTGGACGGCGTGATGAGCGCCGAGTCGCTGCTGGCAGACCCGGCGCTCTTCTCGCAGGTGGGCTGGGAGGGAGCGCCCGGTGGGGCACCCGAGAGCAGGACGTGTGGCCTGGAAGACGGCGGGTGGGTGGGGGCTGGCGGAGGGCGTGGCGGAGGGCGGCGATGCATCACCCGCCTGCTCGCCGGCTGCTCTCGGCCGCTAAACACCCCGCCACCTGCCCCGCGCCCGTGCTGCTGCGCCTGCAGCGCCGCCTGCAGCCCGGCGGCGCGTTTGGCCACCTGGATGGCTGCCACCTGCTTCTGGAGTACTGCGACATGGTGGAGCTGCACCCCACCCCCTGGCGCATGGTCAAGGGGCACGCCTTCCAGCTGCTGGGTGCGCCTGTGGGCTTGGGTGTGTGTGTGTGTGTGCAGTGTGGGGGAGGTGGGGCTTGGCCCGCATGTCTCGGCGTGCATGCTGGCCTGGAGGCGGGGAGGCAGCCGACAAGCAGCGGCGCAGGCCAGCGCTGCGCCGGTGTTGCTGTCGCCCATCCCGCAGCTGCGCTGTGGTGCCCACCCCCCCACCCGACCCGTCCCCCGCCCCGTGCGCGCCTGCGCGCCTGCAGGCCCCTGGCTGACCGAGTTCACCGACCTGCGGGAGCAGCTCAACCACGCTCAGGACTGGGACATGGAGCAGCTGCGGGGCCTGGTGTTTGAGGTGCTGGCGCGCATCGAGGCCACGGGGCGCACGCACCCGGTGCCGGCGCTGTCTGCGCGCGCGCTGGCGCGCATGCAGGCGGAGGCCGGCAAGCAGGCGGCCATCGAGGAGCAACAGCGGGAGCAGGAGGCGCTGCAGCGGCTGGGGGGCGGCGACGTAGAGGCCCAGGGGGCGGCAGCGGCATCAGCGGCAGGCCAGGGAGCCGTGGAGCAGCAGGCAGAATGCGCGGAGGCGGCGGAAGCACCGCAAGCGGCTGTTGTGGGTGCCTGAGGATCAGCTCGGGTTTATTTACATTTCATTTGGGTCAGGTACTACATACAACTGCTGTCAAAGTTTAAGTAATCAAGGCTGCATGTTAGGCAGGGCAAGCAGGCAGGGGGAACAAGTGGGTGATTGAGAATGTACAACAACAACTGCAACTTGGGGCAAGACAAGGCAAGGCGCTTGGGGAAGCTGGCATGTCTGTGCCCGGCAGGTTATTGCCTCCTTCAGGCAGGATAGTATGCTGTTGTTTGATAGCGCAAGTGGGGAGTTTTGAAACAGAACAATTGATTGAGTTTCGGCTGGCCTGGATGTGTCGCGACCGTCGTGCGAGGGCTCAGCTCAGCACCATGCTGCGGGTGCGCCTGTGGTGCGGCCGCGCCGGCTCTGGTGCAGGCGCATCCGGCTCCACGACTGCCACCAGCGCGGTTGCAGGTGCCCAGCAGGCGAGGATGCGCTCGGCCTGCGCAGCGCCAGCAGCAGGCTCCTCCTCTTCGTTGGCGTCGCTGTCGGATGAGGCGTCATAGCTGCCGCAGGAGGAGTGGCGGGGGAGGGCGGGGAAGGCGGAGGGTGCATCCTGTTCCTGGGCCTGCAGCAAGCACAGGAAGCGGCGCGGGCCTCCAGTGAGCATGCCAGCCAGTGAGCCAGGCGGGCGCCGCAAAGCACCCCCCAAAGAAGCCAGGCAGGCTGCGCCGCGCCCCTGCCGCGCCCGCCACTTGCCTGCTTGAGCAGCTGCTGGGTGAGCAGGTGGGCGGCGCGCTCCTGCTGCAGCGCCTCCTCCGCCTGCTGCGCGCACCGCTCGGCGTGGAACACCGCCGCCTCCCGGCGCTTCAGCTGCTCGCCCAGACGGTCCACCTGCTCCCACGCATTGTCCAGCGAGTCCTGGCAGTCCACCAGCTCAATCTCGCTGTCCAGCGCCTTCTGCCGCCAGTGCACCGCCTGCTCGTGCGCCGTGGCCAGGGAAACGGTCTCGCGGAAGGCGGCCAGGGCGGCGGCAGAGGCAATGCTGCCGCCGCAGCAGGTGCACGGCTCATCGCGGTTCTCCTCTATCTCGACGATGGCGTGGTGCGCACCCTCCACCAGCCGGGCATACTGCTGCCTGACGCCGCCCAGGCCCTCCGCCACGCGCGCGCACCGGCGCTGAGCGCGCTTGCACTCCTGCTGGGAGGCGGCCAGCCGGTCGGCCAGGGCGCTGTCGCGGTTGCGCGCCAGCTGCCCAATCACCGCCTCCCGCTCCTCCAGCTGCCGCTGCAGGCGGGAGTGGTGCGCCGTCGCCGCCTCCTTCGTCGCCTGCAGCTCGGCGGCAGAGGCCTCCAGCGCCGCCACCGCCTCCTGCAGCCGCGCTGACAGGTCCTCCTGCCGGCTGTTGGAGAAGGTGGGGAAGGTGATGAGGAAGGAGGGGGCAACATCCTCGGGATGGCAGAGAGCGGCGGCGATGCCGCGGCGGAGGCTCCTTCGCGCGCTCCACTGCAGCGCCCGCACTCCCTCAAACAGCCTGGAGGGGAGCATGAGGCGGGCTGTTGATGGGGGCAAGGAAGGGCAAGTCGTCGCATATGACGCCGCGTTTTGTCGCCTGCAGACCGCCCAGGGGCCATGTAGTCACCTGCAGACGGCTGTGAAGGCGCTGGGGAAGGCCTCCTGGCCCGGAACGGAGGGCATGATGACCGAGTGGATGGTTGGCGTGGTGCCTTCACTGGGGCTGTAACCACGTGAAATGGCCGGGGCTGGTCGTTTTGACTCTGCAAACCACGTTGGGAATGGACGGCGGGAGCGGAGCGCGATGTGAAAACGATGTGTACCGCGCCGAAGTACACAACTCAGCAGCCATATCCACTGAAACCTCGATTTGGCACAGAAACACACAGAGGATGGGTACACGCCCAGCAAGGAAAATTTGGTGGCGCCAGGACCAAGATGCTGTGGTTGTGGGCCGCCCGCCTGTCGCCGTTGGGCGCTGGCGCCCGCCGTGACGACGTCGTGCTGGGGTGGCACGGCATCGGCAGCAGCAGAGCGGGGTGGCAGGTCTCGTGCTTGTTCATCTGTTGTCCTTTGCGCGCACCGGAGTGTCCCATAGCTGTGGGCTGTCTCGCTGCGCTGACGTGTCTGCATCACACCATGAGAATGCGGGCGCCCAGCATTGCGACTCACTTTTACAATCGCATGGGCAACATTTCCGATTGGCGGTCCTAGAAACGATGCGGGACACAAACCCCACCAAACGTGGCAACGTCTGGTCAACCAGTGTCGCCGCAGCTGCAGTACCAATCAGGTCTCCTCCTCCAACGAGTCGCTCAGCCGCATTCGCGCGCCGGGTGGGCTGCAGCCGCCCGCAGGGCGCCCAGGTGGCAGCAGGCCAGGCGGACGCCCGCTGTCGCTGCGCAGTGCTGTGCGCTGGCGGAAGCTGGTCGAGGGAGAGGTGAGGGGGCTGCCTCGCCAGCCTGACCCCATGTCACCGCCCCCACTGCACGCTGTGGGCTGCTGGCTATCGGCCGTCGCACGCACTGCCTCCAGCACGGCCACCTGCTGCGCCGCCAGCTGCTGCAGGCCCTGGAGCAGCCGCTGCTGCGCCTCTGACAGCATGCCCTGCAGCTGCAGCAGCGACACAGAAGCGTCTGCCGCGCCGCGCTGCTCGGTCTCTGTCCTCATGGCGCGCGCGAGCCGCTGGCCGTTGCTGGTCTCGCCACCACCCGCATGGACAATCTCCTGCGTTGGGCAGGCTTTTGAGCCAGAACCGGGTGCCAGGATGCCAGCAGCGGCAGCAGCGGTGACGGAGACAGAGCTGCTGGCGGGGCCAGCTGTGCCACGGTGTGCAGAGATGCGAAAGTCGCTGGCATGCTGCATGGTATCGGGCGTGGTGGGAAGCGAGTGTGGCGCTGCTGCCCTGCCGTCGTGAGGCGGCGGCTGCTCCAGCTTGTGGTTGTGCTGCCCACTGTGCCGCCTGCTGCCATCGCCCGAGTGCCGCTCCTGCTCCGGCGGCTGCACCAGCAGCTCCTCGTCCCCAAACCGCAGCATTACATAGTGCGCCACCTTGCCCAGGTCTGCATGCACGCAGGGCACTCCACAACGTGCTGGGTCTTAACGGAGGCCCTGTGCATGGTCGATCAGGAGCAGCAAGATCGGCAGGGCTCACCAGGCACGGGCGGTTTGACGGGCTTCTGGGCGAGGCTGGGCTGCCGCTTGAGACCCAGGCTGCTCATCAGGCGGGCTGCGCCTCTGGGCTGTGTGCGCGAGGCTTCAATGTCGCTCTCCTGCTCCTCCTCCAGCATATAAGCCTGCCTCCCCAGATGCGGAAGGGGTATTTATTAGCACCCTCATCTTCCAATGTGTGGGAGCGATGATGGCAGTGGTAGCGGCATGCGGCTCGGCATCACAAGCATGACCTGGCATTCCGCTGTCGCTGGCGCACCTGCAGGATGGTCCTGAGCTCCTCCTCCTGCACCCCCCGTCCGTCCACCACGAGCGTCTTGGGCCGCACCTTGTCCTGCAGGCAGGTCAGTGCAGATGAGCAGGGTACAGCAAGCGAGCAGGCACCCTGCCGACTGTCGTCTTCTCGTGCACCACCTGCAGACCCACTCCACACCTTCAGCAGCGCCTCGCCCTCGCCCGCCACGCCATCATCACTGACGTCGGCCACGCCGCGCTCGCTGTCCTGCCACCAGCGCAGCAGCTTGGACAGCTCCACGTCGCTGATGCGGTCCTGGCTGAAGCGGCTGGTGGCTGCAGGGTGGTTGGGGCAGGAGGGCAGGTGGGGAGCCCTCCACTGGGCGAGGGTAAGAGCATACACATGTGTGCGTGTGTGTATCACGGCAAACAGATGCGGGGTCCTCCTCACACGCACGCAGGCTGTGTTCCCCTGACACCCCAGCTCACCGGAATGGTAGGCGTGCCGCAGCATCTGCGCCACCTCTGTGTGCAGGCCCGTGGTGTCTGTGGTGCGCTCCTTGACCTGCGCCGCACCAACCCAAGTGCGGCCTGGTGGGGGCAGGCTGCTGCCCCGAGCCGCCACCTGCCGATGCTGCCCACTTTGGAGGTGTTGGGCCCAGTGCTCCAGGCCTGTCAGTGCCGGGCAGGGGCAGGAGCCCAGCCCACCTGGCCAAAGGCATCCACACAGATTGCCAGCAGGAAGTTGAGCAGCACCAGGAAGACCAGGATCTCAAACGCCCAGAAGAATGCCGCCCCCGCAACCGCTGCACGGCGGCGGAACACAGGTCAAGCAGCAGCTCTGGAGCTGGGAGATGCCCACGCCACCCAGGAAGGCAGGCAGGCACCCACCCACACACACCTTGCAGCCCACTCAAGGCTTGCAGGTCGGAGTTGACCGACGTGTCGCCCAGCAGCAGGGCAAAGCAGGTGTTGACAGAGCCGCCAAACGAGCTGAAGCCTGCGCCGCTGGAAGGACGGGAGTGAGCGAGGGCGGGGCTGCTGGTCGCGGCACGATGCCCGCCGATTGAGAGCCAGCCCCGGCCCACACGATCACCTGCGATTGAGTTGCCGAAAATGAGGTGCGCAAGCATCGCGTAGCCGATGAAGACCAGGCCAAACACGAGCCCAAAGTGCAGCAGGTCGGGGCCGGCGTGCGCCAGGGAGCGGGTCACCACACCCAGCCGGGGCTGCAGTGGGCCAAGGGGCAAGCGAACGGTGTGCCGTCACCCGTCCAGCGCCCCAGCAGACGCTGCACACGAGGGAGCAGCGGCCCATGCACTGCATGGGTGCGGCACATCCCAGGGGCCACCGCACCTGGAAGTCCAGCAGCTGGAGCAGGCGTGCGATGAGCATGAGGAGGTTGATGCCGGTCAGCGCCGCATACCACGCCAGCTTGTCCGACAGGCCCTGCATCCAGGCAGAGCTGGTGCGAGTTGGATGAGGGCCTGGCAGCAGTCGGGGAAGGTGCCAAATGCTGCAGCTGCACAGCCCACCCACCCATCCGCCTGCCCTCCTACCTGCAGCCTGCTGAAGGCTGCGTGCATCTCCTGCAGGCCCGCGCCGCCGTCTGCCAGCGCCAGCAAGGCTGCGTCTGCCCCCAGGTCGGCATACACGTTGAAGCGCAGGCCGATGGTGAATGGCAGGGCGTGGCGCCAGACGAGCACCCACCACATCGTGACGCACGCCACCAGCAGGCCGGTGCTGGCGCAGTCCATGGCATGCCAGCCGCTGGTGAAGTAGGACAGCGGGTTGCCAGTCGCGCGCGCCACCTGGACGGCAGCAGCTGGCGGGGACCGCATCAAGCAAATGTTGTGTGCAAGGAGGTGGTTCCGTGTGGGAAACCTGTGGTTCACATGTGTCACACTCGCAACCCGGCATGTCCCGCCGCACCCACCCGGTACATGCCCCGCAGCTCGCTGCCTGCCATGACGGCCACGCAGAGCGTCAGCGCCACCTCCAGCACCAGGCGGAGGGCGTCCAGGCGGGTGGCATACAGCTCCACGCGCAGGGTCTGGATCTTCTGGGTGACCTGCAGCAGCAAAGCACATGTGCCAGGCCAGCGCTGGGGGCGGAGCAAGCCCTGCCATGGGCGCCCCGCACCACAGACCGCCCCCACAGCTGCCCACCTGCACCGAGCCACCCTTAACAAACTCGAAGGACACGATGGCGGATGAGAAGAGGCGCAGCTGGGCGTTGTAGGTGACCACCTGCGCCAGCAGGCGCTGCGTGCGGCTGTCCAGGAACAGGCCCTCCTGCAAGCATGTGGGCGCGGGGGCTGGGGACAGTCAGGCCTGCACCGGTGGCCTGGACTAGCAGGCAGCACGTGGGCATGGGGGCATGGGTGCATGGCGCACTGCCAGGCGGGCGCCAGGCGGGCAGGCGTCCGGCCCCACCTGGATGAAGGACAGCCAGGCGAGGGCGCTGTGGGCATCCAGGTTGATGTCGAACAGCATCGGGAAGCCCTCCCCAAACTGGTTCAGGGAGGAGGCGTGGAAGCCGTAGGGCAGGCTGCGGGGGCTGTACAGCTCGGCGCAGTAGGGCGGCGGGTTGGTGACCTGGGGCGCCACGCCGGGCGAGCCCTCCACCTCGACGTTGTAGGTCGGCTGCGGCAGCAGGGAGCAGTTGTAGCGGGCGGTCACACCGCCCAGGAGGTCGGGGTTGTACAGGGAGGTGCCCATTTTGAACACAGGGTCCACGCCATAGGGCTCGCTGTCCAGGCCTGCACACACGCACAGAGGCAGGCACACGCACGCCATCAGGGCATGGGGCGCGGTGTGAGCTCTCTGGTGCCGCTTCCCCCAGCCCAGGCCCGGGCGCCACTCGAGGGACGCGAGGCCAGGCAGCTGCGTCATGAGCCCAGGGTGGCAGCCCACACCCAGGCCGCCTCACCCCTCTTGCACCCGCCGCCAATGGCGGCAAAGCGGGCGTTGGAGCAGGCGGATGGCAGGCCGCGCTGGTTGAACAGCAGCAGGCCGGCGATGACTCGGTTGCTGGTGCCGATGTACCGCTCTCGGGAGGTGTCAATCACGATCTGGAGGACAGCAAGCCAGGCCAGCCCACAGTGATGCACAGCAGAATGCACAGCAGACTGCATGTGCTGCTGCAGGATGAAATGCAACTATACGACAGCAGCACATGCTGCAGGAAGCAAGGAAGGCTCGGGTACCAGGCACCCCAGCTGCTCAGCCCCTTCCGCCACTCACATCCGGGTTCTGGTCGATGCTGAAGCTGTACTCTGTTGTGGTGCTGGTGGTGCAAGGTACTGACGCCAGCACAGCTGCCTTGGTGGCCACCAGGGTCTGCAGCCGCACTCGACGGTACAGCTCCAGCGCTTGGCTGCAGCACAGGCAGCACAGGGCGCCAGCGCAGCAAGGCGCCAGCCACGGTTTGTTCAAAAGACTAGTCGGCACTGAGGCAGGCCTGCAGCACAAGGCTGCTGAAAGCAACATGCTGGGAATGTGCGCTGAAGTGCGGAGCAGGCACCATCCACCACCTGGAGGACAGCAGTGCCTGCTGCAGCGCCTGCGCAATCCCCCTTGTCTGGTCCTTGGCAGACTGCTCCAGCTGGGCCTGTGCAGCCAGTTGCTGCTGCTGCAGGCTCTGCAGGTTGGCCAGTGCCTGCATCTGAGCGGCGGCCGCCGCCGCCGCCGCCGTCTGCTTGCCCAGCACCTCGCCCAGCAGGTCCTGGATGGCCACCTGGCCGCTCACAATCTGCTCCTGCCCTGCAGCTACCAGCGCCTGCAGGCTGGTATCCTGCGCGGCGGCGGCGGCATCCCCCACCGCCGTCTGTAATGCCTGCACCTGCTGTTGCAGCGCCTCCTGGCTGTCTTGCAGCGTGCTCACCGCATCCAGCACCGTTTGCAGCATGGCGTCGGGGCCCTGCTGCAGGCGACGCCTGTAGCCGCCGCTGCGCCCGCTGCTGCTGCCGGCATCACCGCCTCCAGTGTCAAATTGCTGTGCCTCCTCGTCCCTCTGAAAGTAATCAAGGTCCAAGCTGTCCATTCCCTCCCAATCCCCGACGCTTTCAACGCTTGCCAGGCCTGCCGCAGCCCTCATGGCCAGGAAATCAGGGTCACTCCGCGCGCTGCCAACCTTCAGGCATGCATCACACTGGCACACCTGCAGGGCAGGTCGTGCAAGCCGGGGACACTGCCTTATCGCTGCTCCCTTCCCCATTCACGCCGCATCGGCACTCGCCGCAACGCGCCTCACCTGGCCTGCTCCGCATGCCGGGTAGCACTCGCAGATGGAGCCACAGATGTTCTGCGTGTCGCACAGATCGCCACAGGCATCGCTGGTGGGCAGCAGCGGATCGCTGGCAGCGCAGGCGTACACAACTTGCAGTTCGCCGCTGGCGTCAGGAGCGCTGCTGTTGGTGCATGGCACGAGCAATGCGCACTGCCCGATGTACTGTGGCATGCGGCTGCAGAAGGAAGACAACCAGTCTGGCAGTTGAGTGAGTGTCGCAAGCGGCAGGCGGTTGGGCCGGCATCCCTACGTCGATAGCATGCCACAAGCTGCCGCAGCGACTGCACAGGGTCATGGAGGGGCAGGCCGGATGGCGCGCACCTGGCGAGGTTGCATGTGGCGTAGGCGGCGCTGCCGCCAGCCCAGGTAGTGTAGTCGTAGGGCAGCTCGCTGCCAGGCTGAGTGAGGTTGAGCGCCTGCTGCACTTCCGGCAGCCCCTGCACCACAGCCTCAGCATCCTCCAGCTCCTGCATGCGCGCCTCGGCTCGCGCTACCAGCACCGCCGCCGTCACGCCCGGAGCGCTGATCATGCGGCTGGCCAGCGCTGACTTGGCGGGCGCAGGCGCAGCCCACGGGTCCGCATAGAAAGCTGCCAGGATGCGGGGCGTGGCTGTTGCTGGCTGCGAGGCGTTCTGCCCCCGGCTGGCGTCAACAACAGCATACAGCTCTGGCGTCTGCACCTGCAGCTGCGCCAGACCCGCAATCAGCGCTTCCTCTGAGGCTGCGCTTGCTGCCGGCAGGCGTGCCGTCAGCAGGCTGATCAGGCTGTCCAGCTGCTCGCCGCCTGCGAGCTGCGTGAGGTTTGCAAGCATGTCGCACAGCTCGAGAGAGGGTGCGATGGAGGCATCCGCGTCTGCAAGCAGGGACGGAGAGAGGTGGTCAGCAGCTAGTCGGTGGAAGGTTGAACACTCGATGGCCCCACAGGGACACACTTCTGGCATGCACCTGCATGGTAGAAGGGCAGCTTTGGGCAGGAGGTGGCAGCAAGCGACAGTTCCGCCAGTGCATGGTCCAGCTGCTCCTGCAGGTACGCCTGCTCTGCCGCATAGCCCTCGGCATCCAGCGCCCCGCTGCTCAGCAGGGCCTCCGCCTCTGCCAGCTGTGTGGCATACTGCTGCACCAGGGTGGCATTCAACAGTGCCTGCACTCCCACGCTTCCCTGCTCCACCACCTCCTCCAGCTCCTGCCACTCGATGGCGCGCTGCGCGGCGGCCGCCCCCAGCGCAATGGCCACCTTGGCGACCTGCGCCTGCTGCTCCAGCAGCTGCACGCTGCGCACGCTGCCCACCACCTTGGAAAAGATGTCGCGCTTGAGCACCAGCGCCCACTCGCCTGCAGCCAGGCAGTCAGGGGCGTTGTCAGCATGGGGAAATGGAGGCAGAAATGCCAGCCCAATCCTGCCTGGCGTTCCTTATGTGGAAGCATGCATGCATGCCAGCCAAAGCAGGCATGGCCGCGCCTCCCATCGCACCATCTGGCACGTCGGGCACCACGATGCTGGTGCTGCCCGCCAGCTGCTCAAACGCGTGGTCCTTCTCCCAGTAGCAGCCGCTGCTGTCCCCCGCCGGGCACAGGTTCCAGCTGGCCTGCCGCTGCAGCTCGGTGGCTGGGATGGAGCCGGCGGGGTGGGTGAAGTCGTAGCGAAGGTCGATCTGGACAGCGGTCAGGTTCTGGATGTCCTCCAGCCGCCCGCAGTCGGCGCGACAGCCAAACCGTCCATACTGGGCATGCTCAAAAGGGCTCTCGCACACGCCGTCGCCGCACACTGCGAGCGCAGGTGCTGGGAGCAAGTTCTCAAGGCAGGCAAGCGGCGAGCGGCATGTGCCCACAAAGATGCGCACCTGGGTCGCGCCACACCATTGTCAGCAGAGCTCTGAGCCAGTCGTAGACATCATCCACAGAGCGGATGGCGCCCTCGGGCAGCAAGCCTCCTGCCAGCGTGCTGTGGACCTGTGGAGGCAGGGAGAGCAGGTGCTTGTCGGGGTTATGCTTGTCGGGGTTATGAGCAGCCACCACGCCATGGGCCGGCAGCAGTGTGAGTCACATCCTGCGGTCAACACTAGCCTGGTAGCTGCTGCCGGAGCTGCGCTGCAGGAAGAGCACGCCCAGCAGGAGCGCGATGAAGGACAGGAAGGCCAGCAGGCGGCTGTAGTTGAGGTTTCGCAGCCGCCACTTGCGATAACGCCGCTCCAGCTCGCTCAGCACCGTGCTGGCGGCGGTGGAGGCGGGCGCCCTCGCGGCCGCCGCTGCACCCGCCACTGGCCTCGTAGCCATGCCCGCCCAGCTGCTCTAGGCGCGACTACAGGGTGTTGCAGGCCTCAGGGCGCAAGACCAAGGCACAGCGCGCAACAGATGAGGGGCCACCGTTGCAGAGGGTGGCAAAGCGGGGCTCCAAGGCCAAATTGAGTGTCGGTATGCACAGGCGCAATGCACAAACGGCCCAGAACGGGGCTTTGCCGACGTGCTGCGTCGTGCTGTGGGGTGGCTGACTGTAGCCGCACCCGGTTCCTGGGAGCGGGCTTGTTCGAGTGAGAATGCTTACAGGACCTGCTCTTCCACGGCTAAAGTACACAGTCAAGCGAAGTGGAAAGCGGCTCATGATGCAAGGCTGACAAGCCTCAGAATAGGGAATAGCCTCATAGCGATCAATCATAAGGTAACCAGGAAGCGGGAAAACGCAAGGCAGGGAGCCGGCTCAGGCTCCTGCTACAACTCTCCCCCCCTTAAAAGAGAGGCACACCTGCCTCTTCAAAGAACGAAGAGAACAGAGGGGAACAGAGGATGCGGAAACAAAGAGGAAAACAAAAACAGAAAACTGGGGGAATGGAGGAGGAAAGACAGGTGGGGTAATGCAAGGAAAAGAGGTGGTAGCGAGAGCGGGGGGCTCTGCTGCCCGAGGCATCCAGGTGCCAGGCTGCAGAACACCTCTCGCCAGAGCCAAATTACCGGCATATACACCACACTGTTAAAACTCACAGCAGGGGCGCGGTCACGGCAGAAGTTTGTAGAGTTCACGGTAGCGCCGGGTATCGCCAGTGGCAGCGATGCACCAGTGCCGCAGCTCGGCTTCAGTATGCCAGCTATCTTGCCGATCCGCGTCCCGCCATTTCACCAGTACCGTCTTGTCACGTCCTCGAGCAACAAAATGCAACACTTGCTCAAACTCAGGCTCCTCTGAGCTCAGTTCCAACTCCAGGGCTGGAGTGTCGGCCGTCTGCCGAGCAGGGAACTCTGCGCTGCCGTCAATGTAAGGGCGCAAGCGCGACACGTTGATCTTCGGTCTGTTCCTGGATGACTTCGAGTCCGGGCTGGTGCAACAGGCTGCGGCCGCGGCTCTGCCTCGCTGGCAGAGCGGGGAGTGCGTGCCGCCATTATTTTACGCTGATGACCAGGCCTTGCTGGCCACCATGCCGGCAGGCCTGCGTTTCCAGCTTGGTTACCTTGAGAGCTACTGTGCCGCCTGGGGCCTGACGGTTAACACCAAAAAGACCCAGGTGGTAGTGTACACCACTGGCGGGGCTGCTGCCACGGAGGAGCGGTTCCGCTACGGCGGCAATGAGGTGGAAACCGTCCCCACCTTCAGATACCTCGGCGTGCACCTGCACTGCCGGCAGGCCTTTGCCTCGGCGGCATCGTATCGGGCGGAGGCTGGGCGGCGCGCGATGCACCTGCTGCGTCGCCGCCTGGCCGAGAATGGGTTGCAGGACCCCCTGCTCAGCATGCGTGCGTTCAAGTCTTACGTCCTGCCGACGTTGTCGTACGGGGCAGAGATCTGGGCGCCGCAGCTGATTCTGCAGGGCAGGACGGCATGCGAGCGGGTACAGCTGGAGTACCTGCGAGGGCTGCTGGGTGTGCGGGACAGCACCCCAGCCCTCATTGTGCTGGCAGAGACGGGGCAGCTGCCGCTGCCCGCCTACTGGACCTTGCAGGTTGCACGCTTTGTGAGCAACCTGCAGGCTATGGGCGGCGAGCGGGTCGCCCGTCTTGCCATGCTGGATAGCGTTGCGCTGGCTGCCGACACGGACACAGGGCTGCCACTGGCCCGGCAGCCCTGGGCAGCGCAGGTTAGCCGCGTTCTCGGTGGGA